GGTACATATCATAATTATTTTCTTTGCATAAATGGTAATCTTATAAAGAATAATACTACACATACAATTTTCTCATACAACATTTTGTGGCAAAAGATGATCAGGTGAAAATTTGATTTTAATTTAAAATCAGCTAATCATATTTTGCCACATAATGTTGTATAAAAATGTTATATGTGTAGTATTACTCTCTTACAAAACCAATTCTTTTATTTACTAGTTTCTTTATTTTTTTTTTCCTTGTTAATTCTTAGTCTTTTGGGACGTTGAAAGCCATTGATCTCAGTCACTCCTGCAAGCTTATCAGAACTCCAGATTTTACGAAGGTTCCAAACCTTGAGTGACTCAATCTTGAAGGTTGTACAAGATTGCTCGAGGTTCACCCATCTGTTGGAGTTCTCAAAAGGTTGATTGTACTGAACTTGAAACATTGTAAAAACCTTGTGAGCTTTCCTAGCGATGTCTACGGTTTGAAATCTCTGAAGATTCTTAATCTTTATGGCTGCTCAAAACTAGCCAAATTGCCCAAAATTTGGGGGAAGTCAAGTGTTTGGAGGAGCTAGATGCAAGTGGGACTTCAATAAGACAAGTACCATCCTCCCTTGTATGCTTGAGGAGCCTTAAAACATTAGCTCTGCGTGGATGCATAGACTCCATGTGTTTGATAATGCCTCATCTAACAGTTTTCTCCTCTCTAAAAGTATTAGATCTTGGTGATTGCAATATCTTGGAAGGAGCAATCCCTAATGATATTGGCTCCTTATCCTTGTTAGAAGAATTAAATTTAAGCAGAAGCAATATTGTTAGTCTACCGGAAAGCCTGAAGCAGCTTTTGAAACTTAGAATTCTATTCTTGGAAGACTGCCAGAAGTTGCAGTCTTTGCCAGAGCTTCCTACGGGAATAATTTTTATTGGTGCAGAAAACTGTACCTTGTTGGACGTGGAAACATTGTCTAGTGCACTGAAACGAAGCACTTCTGCACACATTGCAATACACTTTTTCAATTGTTCAAAATTGGTTGACAATCATGGTAGGATAGACAGCTTGGAAGTTACGTTGCTGAAACGGTGGCTTAAGATATCTCTCTCTTTATTAGCGTGTGAGTAGATAATCTTGAATATTACAACATTATGGTCTTCAATTGCATCATTCTTCAAGATATCACTTATTTAGTTTTAGGATAAAACTATCAATCTCATAGTGCAAAAACAATTCTATATTATATTAGTATAATTACTCGATGATTCACACTTAACAGGAATATATACACCCCAAAAGTACCCGATGTCTGTAATAGTTTACACATTCACAAACTGTCTATGCTTTTCTAAACCAACTTAATTTCCAATTTGATTGACACATTAAAATTAATGTTCAGAGAAGAGGTGAAGAGAGGTAATCTAGAGAAAACTGAAAGGAGTGGATGAATATGCAGAACTATACATTTACCCAAAAAAAAAAAAAAAAAAAGAATATGGAGAACTATAGAAAGAAACGTAGCTGTGATCTCTGAACAATTTTTAGAGGGTTTATTTGCATGTCTCAATTGAGTTTACATAGTATGTGATAATCAAATATTTCTAAATTAGCTTATGCTTTTCAGTACTGGTAATGTGAAATATGGCACTAACTCCTTGATATTGTAACACCCTAAAACTAGCAAGCATATTTATCGCTTCCAAGTTTTTCTTATTGAATGCTATCGTAAGAATGAAATTGTAGCAAAAAAAAAAAAAAAATTAATAAACGGGCTATAGTTGGCACATTCTATATAATTAATGCTCGCAATTTCATGTTGTAGGATCTCTGCAATCATTCTTCTCAATTTCATTTTTGTCTTCTCGGAGGAAAAATTCTAGAGTGGTTCAGCGATTCAAGTGATTGGTATTCAGTAGAAACCCTAGTACCTTCCCACAGGTTTGATGAACTCATGGGATTTGCTATGTGTGCTGTATTTGCAGTTCCTGGTTATTCATATAAATTAGACCCAATAATCATAAATTGTCTCTTAAGCATAGGTTCAATGGATTACAATTTCAAATTTGCCATCCCTGGTTTCACAACTATTGATTTTGACCACATTTGGCTAACCTATTTGTCAACTAAGTTGTTTCCCCTAAACAACTTGCCAACTGGCGAAATACATGTTTATGCTACCTTTCATGTATCATCCGAGGGTATAATGATGCCCATTGGTACAGTGAAAGGGTGTGGGATTCGTTTAGTTTATGAGCAAGACAATGGATATATGGGTCCTGGTTACAATATTGAGGAAACTCCAGAAGTGGGAAGTTCATCATCACATTGCATTTCTCCTATATTTATGAAACACAATTTCAAGAAATTTGAACTTCTCCCACTGATAACAGAGATAAAACTAGCACTTCCTAGACAGACAAGTACTCCTGACCAACCTAAGGAAGAAATTACACTCTTAAAGGATGGTTTTATCCCTGATATTTTTCCCAACAATATTGAATATCCTTGGGAGGACCTAAAGGTATTCTATTTTGATTTCTTTGCATATATGGTAAATTTTTATGGAAGCAATGCTTTTTTTTTTTTTTCTTATAACTATTTTTTTATTATTTTATTTCTTACTTACAGTATGTCAAAAAGTTGAAAACCGTTGATTTTAGTCACTTCAATGAGCTTATCAGAACACCAGACTTTACAGAGTTTCCTGACCTTGAGCAACTCAAATTTGAAGGTTGTACAAGATTGCTGAAGGTTCATCCATCTGTTGGAGCTCTCAAAGGGCTAATTGTATTGAATTTGAGAAATTGCAAAAATCTTGTGAGCTTTCCTAGCAACATCTGTCGTTTGAAATATCTCAAGATTCTTAATCTTCATGGCTGCTCAAAATTGAACAAACTACCCCAGAATTTGGGGAGAATTGAGAGTTTGGAAGAGCTGGATATAAGTGGTACTGCAATTACAGAAGTACCATGTTCCATTGTACGATTGGGAAATCTTAAAATGCTATTCCTGAAAAACTGCCAATGCCTTCAGTATATACCGGAGCTTCCACCAAAATTATATTTTGTTGGGGCAGAAAACTGTGCTTCCTTAGATGTGGAAACATTAACTACCGCCCTAAAACAGAGCACTTGTACATACATTGCACTGCATTTTTTTAATTGTTCAATACGGGTCGACAATCGCGGCAAGATAGAAAGCTTGGAAGTTATGTTGCTGATACAATGGCTTCAGGTCTCTTTCCTCTCTCTCTGTTGATTATTTTGAGTACAATATCATTGTAGTCTATGAGTAGTCAGCTACATATATTTAGAATACAAGTATTAATCAAACTTTTATATTACTAAAAACAAAAAAACATGCATATACGCCCAAAAAGTAGTCATTCTCAACAATAGACTTCGCTCATAGTATGCACATACACACAATCTCTGAGGACATCCTATACATAGATTTGTCTGGTGTGTTTATATATATCATGTAGGATCATTAAGAAGTAATGTCTATGTTAATTGATTTTAAAGATTGTGACAGAATTAGTTCTCTTAAGAAAGCCACAGGTAGCATTATCTTTATTTCCAGCATTTCTCTTTTCATTTATGCATGCTTATCGATACTCATTATCTCATGTTGCAGAATCTCGGTAATCATGAGCTCATGTGGCAGAATCGCTATCCTCAATTTCGTTATCGATCTTCTCGATATCAACCTCTTCAATTTCATATTTGTCTTCTTGGAAGTGAAATTTCAAAGTGGTTTAGTGATTGGAGTAATCAGAGTTCAGTAGACACCCAACTACTCTCCGGTAAACGTGATGAACTCATGGGATTCGCTTTGTCTGTGGTATTTAAAGTTCCTGGTTTTTCGCATGAAGGAAATGCGACAAAAATTCAATGCCATTTAAGCATAGGTTCAAGGAATTATGAATTCAAATTCATCATCTCTACTTCCAAAACTGTTAAGTCTGATCATCACCTTTGGCTGGGCTATTTTTCAAGCAAGCTGTTTTTTAAACAAGAGTGGCCAAGTGGGGTGGTAGCCATTCATGCTGCTGTTTATATACTCTCCAGAGGTACGTTGTATGCTGAAGGTTATGTGAAACAGTGTGGGATTCGTCCAGTTTATAAGAAAGACGTTCCTCAAACACCAGTAACGGAAAGTTCATCATCACCTAATTGCATTCCTCCAATATTTATGAGACGCAGCATCAGGAACTTCGAACTTGTTCCACCGATGACACAGCCGAAACCAGCACCACATCCTGACAGTCACAGGCGGACAACACCATCTGACAGTGGTAACCAGAAAGCTCCTGACAGCCCCATGCGCAGAACACGCCTAATGCTAGATTTCTAGTGGACTAAGGGGATGATGTCTATAGTATTAGAGTGATATTGTTGACATGTTACCACAAATCAATGCTTGTACAGAGAAATAATTTTAGTTCCTTTGAATTTTCCATATCTGAGAGCAATATGAAGTCTGATCACCGTGGCAATGTTTCGAAGTCTGACCTTTGGTTAGGCTAAGTTGTTTCTGGAACAGAAGTGGCCTATTCGTCTAGAGCAATAGGTTCAATCGTTACAAGAGCTTCCCATGGGTGGTCTTTGGTATCATTATCAAAGCTTCTATCGTGTCGGGAGTCGGGACACCATTGTACAATGGAGGCTTCTTAAGGACACAGATTGACGATCCAAAGAAGTGATCAAAATCAATAACTTAATTTTGTATGATTATTAAATTTCGTATAATCATTTGTACTACACTAATTTCCTAGGATCAAAGTTGTATACATATCAAAACTTCTTTTCCATAATTTAAAGTGAAGAAGAAATATTGTGAAAGAACGCTTAAATTGAATTAACTATATCAATAATTTGTTTCATTGTTTTCTAATTTCTTACTCAGTTTTAGGGCGACAAAGAAAAGAATAAAAACGATTAAGACATACATACCTCAAATCAAATGATAAATCTTTGCTTTGTAAAATCTCGTCCCTTTGCTTTCAAAGACCCATCGATTCAATGTTTCTTTCACATTTGATGCATAGATGCATCTATCCTCGATTCTTTCTTGGAACTTTTAAATTTTAATATAGGGAAACTGAAGGGTAAAAATAAGAATTACCCCTTATTTGTCATACAAAAAGTTATAATACAATAAATTTTAGAATTGTGACATTATTCATTGCCCTCAACTGCATTTCAAATACCAGACATTGCTTGTCCTCTTCTAAGACTTCATTGCCTTCCCGTTTTAGGAGAAAAGAGTACCCTTCCCTGGCTTGAAGATAGAGCTACTCCCATTGGTTGAACGTCACACATCAATAAGGAGCCACACATGTTGTATAATGAAGAAGATTACTGGCAAAGAACCAATTGCAGCAACAAGAATGGGAATCCATACCAATCCATCTTTGAAGAGAATAAAAATAGCTGCACAAAACACTACCATCATTGCTGCTATTGATAACAGAAGTGTTCCAAGTCCAACAGGCAACTTTCTTGGCAACGACTCAAGGAAATCTTCTTCTGCGTAGCGAGAAGTGAGAATGGATAAGAAACTTCCTGTGGAATAAGTGGATAATACCAGTGACATCGCATCTGATACCATAAAAATTTTGAAAGAAACTTTTTTAAGGAAATGAGGAGTCCCTGTTTCGTCATTGGTGCCACCTGGTACAGCCAAAGCTGCAGCAAAAACCACAGTGATAATAAGTGCTGCCACAACCATGCAATAGTTTGCCGTGTCCTTCATCCATTTCTCCCCCTCCTCCTTTAATTTCTGGTGTTCCTGACTAAAGAAAGCTCTAAGAGTTTTTCCATCTTGACCATTTTCAACTTTAGAATCCCCTGAATTCCCATCCCTATCTTCAGCTTCAACATCCAATGGATTCATAAGCTTTTTCACTTCCTAAAATTATAGAAATTTTATGAAATATGGATCCAATGAAATAGTTTTGTACAGAAAAGAGTAGTGTAGATAATCACCTCAAACCACATCAATTCTCGCTGCATTTGCAGTGCTACTCCTGATACGCTATGGAGCCGATCTAATGGTGCCAACTTCACAGCCAAATGCAAGATATTGTTGCCTTCGTTATCTTTATAGGGAACTATAAAATCTTTGACTGAACCTATGTCATGTATGAGTATGAAGATGTCCACGTACCGATACTTAACAGCAATGTGGAATATGCTATACCTATTATTGTCCACGTGGAATATTAAATCAGGATATTCACGAATAAGTATTTTTAAAAACTCGATATTTCCTCGTTTTGCAGCAACAAATATCTGTTTTTTGGCAACTTCTAAAATTTTCTTAAAGTCAGGACTATCCATAGCTAGTTCCCA